TATGTTTTTTGTTTTTACTTTATTCATCGAAAGTAATTCTTATGGCAAGTTGCTTTGCTGCGGAACGAAAACGAAGTAGACTTCGCAGTGAATAATGTAGGAGTATTTTGGAGCTCTATTACGGCCTATATACCTATGAGTAAATAACGAATGTACCGGTACAGTATGACATTTTGGTCAGTTCAAAATATATATGATGAGACTACTGTATTTTATGTACCTATTTGCAGTCGTTCTTAACTCGTCGAGTACCAGTTTTGTAGACACAATTATAGAACTGCAATAGGTTGCGGTCACCGGTGACCGCTTGGTGTTTGAAAGTTTAACCTTATCAAAAATGAACTCATGATATTATCCAATTATAATAATTACACTAGGTATAGACATCTTTCTACTCTGAGCAAACCGACAGTAATTTTTATCCACAAAGAGAAAGCTTTGAGATTCAGAGAAAAATATTTCAGTCCAAATATCCACATATAGGCTGATATTTATTAACAAATTGTCAAAGGAATTTCACGGTCAGTTTGTGACGATGCTGTCAATAAAATGATCGTGATGAAGTTTGCTTGTCAGTGGCTACTGATGGGACTGACCAGTCGACTGACAGGAGTACACGGCTGAGCTAACAACATAATTAACTCGTTATTTCCCTTATTTTCTAGATGACAGGAGAGCTAAAGGATGTATTACGAAATTTGTTTTGAGGGGGTGTGAAATGGAGGTGTGTTATATTTTATGTTTAGGTCGATCGCGGGAAATTATACCTTAAGTCTTGATTTTAAGGTACATGTGAGATGTCACTATTACTAAGGCACTTAGATTTGCTATTTAATAAAAAAACATTTGTTCTTTTGAGAGTAAAGTACAGTACCAATGTAGCACCAGTATGATATATTATTAAGAACGATATTTCATTATATGGTCACATTTAAAAACAATAACTAAAAATAATAATTATTAAAAAATATTATGCTTGAGACACTTATGTAGCCGGTGGGCCCAGGGTGGTCATTACTATAATTTACGTCTCCGCAGGTGCAACCGTTGTAGTCGTAGATGTAGAAGTTGTAGAAGTCGTAGAAGTCGAGGTCGTGGTAGTTGAAGGAGCCGTAGAAGTCGACGTACTCGTCGACGGAGGCGTTGTTGTTTGGAATAAACATGAACGGTCGAATCCTCTGCAGAGTATGCATATCAACTGTTGAAAAAAATAATAGTACATAACACATGACATAACACGCCTTTTTATCCCCGAAGGGGTAGGCAGAGGTGCACATTTCGGCACTTAAAGCCACTATACAAAGTAACACCCGCTTTTCACTATTTATGTTATAAGTCCCATGTAATAGGGGGTGAGCTTATTGCCATATAAGTAATGTATTATCAAATACATTTTTAATTTTGACGAAGCACGAGAAAACCTTATTTTGTGTAATGCAAAAGATTTACAATTAGTAAATGATATTGCAGAAAGCTAATCCGTATGTTTCTTTTATGTAATTACAGTTGTAATCAACTGCTCAAGGCTGATGATGATGAATAATACGAAAACAAAAACGATTGTAAAAACAATTTCGTTTTGTCAGCGTTTTGGGAGTGATCCGTTTGCACCCTGGTCTTCTGCACAGTCGTGTATTACCTATTTACAGAAGATTAAATTTAAAATTGCTTAGGATATTAATAACATGACAAATGTCTGGACAAACCTTCTGATGTCGAACCAGGGCCAAATTGTTACAAAGATCACCAAGCGTTGGAATAGGTGCTCGGTATCCTGAAAGTTAAATTATTCAACTATAGTATTGAACAGTGAACGAGGTGCATCGAAATCAATTACCAAACCAGGTGAGTTTTTTTAATTTTAAGATTCTTAGCAGTAAAAGTTTCATTGTTATTTTGTGATAGCTGTTATTAAATAGTTTAAAAAAAATACCCACCTTGATGTCCAAAATAAGATTGCATCTGATTCCACGCAGCGGGATACCCTAATAGATAAAAGAAGATACTTAAATAAACGATCATGCATTTATTTAACAATTACATTATGTCTAATGGTTACGTCTATTATCTACTATTAAATAAATGCTGAACCAAAAAAGGCACATTAAATACGAAAATAAGTAAAGGCCCTTTTTAAACTCTTGCCATTAACTGGTCTTAGTGATAAAAGCATTTTAAACTTCAATTAGGCCGCTAAAGATAAATATCTTGTCTCCAATCAAGCCGTGTCGTTAGAAGAAATTAAAATAAAATTACTAGAGGACGTTCAACCATTTGCATTTCTTATAAAATTTATCTGAACTAAGTCTTGAATAATTTGGTACATGCAATTTATTCAAAAGGGGAAGAAGATTTTCGAAAAACTCATTCATCATTTCAAAACACTTATGAAAAGAGCAAGGGGTCTCGGGTTCGATTCCTGGGTTTGGCAAAGTATTACTGGGTTTTAAAAAAATTCTCAGTAGTAGCACAGAGTCTGGAATCGTGCCCGGTATATGGCAATAGGCTCACCCCCTATTACATGGGACTCATAACGTAAATAGTGAAACATGGGTGTTACATTGTACAGTAGCATAATGTACACCTCTGCCTACCCCTTCGGGGATAGAAGGCATGATGTTATGTTTAAATTAAAATGATTAAATTTTTAATTAAAATAAATATTAGTTACTGCGTGAAAACATCACTGCCGTAATGACAAATTAAATCATGAAATGTGTAGAAACAAGAACCAATGACAATATTGAAAATTAATAAATGAAACAACACAAACGGATACAGAGACAACAAACAAAAGAGATGCTAATAAAGAAAATGACAAATTCATTCATGCACATATCAAACAAATAAAAAAAAATAGCGATGAAACAGAAACATCAGCTAAATTATTAAAAAATCTATTCAAAAAGGAAGATAGAGTACAAAACACTGAAGCTAATGAAACAAGATACAAACCTGCACTACTTTCAATTGAAAGGCTGTGTGATATTGAATAAAATAGAATTGTGAACAGATAAAACGGTGTTGGAAATAAAAACGCCATGACAGAGACTGCGATCGTCGAGTCGGGTAATGACAAAAAGTCCGGTGGAGCTGCGCTTTGGAAACTTATATTGTCTGAAGTCGTTATTGCTAGGGATGTGTGGATACTCCAATATTTTATTTAACTATGCTTCTTTTTCTTAAAATATTGATTTGATTTCAGACATAGTTTTAATTCGTTCGTGCCGTATAAACTTTTTGTACTTATTTGATATTTTTTATAGGTTCTGACATTTACAATTAATTAAATTGGTCATGTTCATGTTATGCCTAATCATGGATGTTCCTACCTAGTACCATGGTGGTACCTACCAGAGAATTAAACAATTCTCATTATTCTGTTTTATCAGTTATATTACAATCAAGTTCATTTACCAAAATAATTCTTTCATTTGTAATTTTTCTTTGAGTGAAAAGTTAGCCTCAAGTAAAGTACATATTTAAGTAACTTATTCAACCTTTTACGCCCTTGTCCGTTATCAAGATCAACTTGTCAGATAGCGTGATGAAATAATCACCTTTTACAAATTATTCGTACAAAAAATACTTGTATTCGAAAATTTTACAAAGCCAACACATTTACTCGTTATCTTTTCAGTTTAACTCCTTAACAGGCGTACCATAAATTTGATGGGTAATTTACCTTGGCCAGTCTAATTAGATCTTGTTTTTCCTACTTCATTTTGGAAGATGGGAGGTCTTTCTACCATGGTGTCTGGTTCTAACAATCTAAGGCGACTGAGCCTATTGTACAACAGGTTGTCACGCACTTCTGAGATTACTTGTAAAATTATTGTTATTTTATGAGTCAAAATGCTGGTTTCAAACTGTGTCTCGTAAATGGGAATCTTTTGCTGTTCCTTTTGACGTTTATTTGTTTGTCGCAATATGGTCACGATGCTGTGGGAGTTTACTGTCTGTTTTATTGACGTTTCCTTATGAGACTTCAGTCTATCTAATTCTAATTCAGTCTAGTATAGACTGACAGCATTTGTTGTAGAATTCATGCAAAATAAAATGTGTAATCTATGAAGTCTTTGTAAAGATAAATAGCCAAGGAATAATAATTTATTTTGCACTTTACAGTTTAAGTGAAAGAGAAAACGATTTTTCCCTTTTGGAACTGTTATAGTGCGAATTACTACATAGTATAAAATATAGTCATTATCAACCGTCTGTCTGTCACTATGTATGCTTAGATCTTTACAACTATACAACGGATTTTTAATGGATTGAGTGATTCTTCAGGAAGGTTTATATGTATAATACATGCATATTGAACCCGTACAAATCTGGGACGGGTCGCTAGTTTATTATAATTGTCATTTTTTATTTGGAAATAATACTTGTTTTCTTTATGTTCATTCTCTCTTTGTATCAGTATTCTTTAGCAGTACCAGTTCAGGCTCTAATCTCAAGTATACCTCTATTAACAACGACAACAAAGTTTCAACAGTATTGGAAAAGCAAATAATGATAGCAACTTTGAGAGAAATTCAAACGACCCCTTGCATAGGAAAATCGTTTGTGATGCAAATTAAATTCGATTCAGTGAAATTGTCCTATTTTGATTCAATACTTACCCTAACTTACCCCTTTTGACATACATTGAAACGTAAATGCTGAAGTTTACTTGGACCGCTGCAGATCCTAAGTAAATTTGATTCGGGTCCAAGGATTGTTACTTGAGCAGCTTAACACTACAGCTGTGTAGGGAATTTTAAACGAAAGTTCAGAGAAGGGAGGTTTAGGGAGAATTAAAGTTGGCGAGTGTTAGAGGCATAGCTGCTACATTCCTTTACATTCCGTGTTATGGATGAAAGTGTGGGTGAAGTTATGAGTTTAAATTTTCGCATACATTTTCTTTTAGGTAACATGTTGCAGGTTGCTATTGGATTTTTACCTACAAGTGAGATAAGAGAATTTATTTTGCAAATAGGGTACAATAGAGCACTTTTAAGACTTTTACATGTGAACATATCTATACAATATTAATATTATAAAGCTGAAGAGTCTGTTTTTTAGATTTGAAAAATTATTTCTGTGTTGGATAGCCCATTTATCGAGGAAGGCTATATAGGCTATACAATATTACGCTACAATTAATAGGCGACGAGCAGAGCGAGTGAAACCACGCGGTAGTAGCTAGTTATAAAATAAAACTAGATGAGGCCAGCATTTCCTAACAAACTACTCTGAGAAGAAATGCCAAAAAACGCAGGTCGTTGACTCTTTTAAAGTCCAGATAAATACAAAAAAATAAGTTTGGACCCATGCAAGTTTATTCTGTAGTGGCCGTTTGAGGAAAGAACCATAACAGTTTTAGTGGATCTGATGTAACTGCAGTGCATAGCGATAGACTTTAACTAAAACTGGAGGCTATTAGATGTTTCGCAAATGGTTTGTTCTAGGTGGAAATTAAACCTATATATATTATATTGACACACAGCGTTACATCATATTGCCCCGACTACTAATAATTATGTCCTATCTGTTTTGTTTATTGCAGTTGTCGCACAATATTTGAGTTAGGGCGTTTTGTTGTTTTCTGGCGTAATACGTGCGTGCACAAATAAATAATCTTTTATATCTGTCGGAACCGGTCATGAGTACGAACGCTAAACGAAACGCAAGCGCGCCATCTAACAGATTTCCGGTGCGCTTAGGCGAGTCGGACTCGGCGGAGCTCACTTCAGATCGAGTCGCCACCGAGTGAAGTCGTTGTCACGGAACTGCCCTATACCTTGTAATTATAAGAAACTCAGTGATGAATTCTAAACGCTTTTCCTATTTACACGATACTCATATTCGCCCACATTATGTCTGAGCAACCGAAACATAATCATGCCCTTCCATGACATACTGTGTGTACCTAAACGAAACTCAAGTACACAATATCGTTATTTCTCAATATCTATTATTTATGGAGAGGTAAGTACAGTGTGCACGGTTATTTTACATGTGGGTACGGAAATAATTCATTCAGCAGTACAGAGACAATAGTTTGACTACTGAGTCGACCAATGGTTACTAAGATAACATTCCATCATGCCTTTTATCCCCGAAGGGGTGCACGTTACGGCACTTAATGCCAATGTACGATGTAACACCCACTTTTCACTATTTATGTTATGAGTCCCATGTAATAGGCATAGCATATTGTCATATATCATGCACGATTCCAGAATCCGTGCTACTACTGAGATAATTTTAAACCCAGTAATTCTTTGCAAAAGCCGGGAATCGAACCCGAGACCCTTTGCCCGACATCCGCGCTTGCGACCACACGGCCAACGAGGCAGTCTTACTAAGATAGGTTACTATAATATGGCATTACTAAGTGCAGACCAAACAACTTTGTAGACTAAAGCTTCTTTCAAAGGCTGATAAGCTTCTATTAACAACTTACCTTAATTATTGGGCCGCTGGTCAACTGACACCTTAGTATGACTTTGTATTACGTTTAAAGTAATCGAACCGCGATCGGCGTTCTGAGTGCTAACCTGGGTGTCGTCAAGGCCCAAGTGAATAGGTTGTTTATGGGACGACGTACTCTATCATAGACCGAGATAGTGGTAAAACGTTGACCCATCATACATAAAAAATCTCAAATAACTATCGCATTCGTAATGTAATAGTATGCGTTGTTCGGCGCTCTGATTAGTCGGTTTACTGGAACCAGCCAATCACAGCGCCGAACGAGGTCTCGTTTTGATTACTTTATTCGTATAACATACTCGACCTTTATTTTTAAGGGGGAAAATCATCGAATGACTACTCTCGCCTGGGTGAAGCGGGAGGGAGTGTCAGACTCTTACTGACTAAAAACCACCCCGTTCCTACTCCTGCACTTCAAGCCGGAGCCCCGGTAACCCGTTAGGTTCTCCGCGACTCCGTATCGGCATCAGCCCTATTGGGCCCCATCCGTGGTGGTCTGATGGCTTTATGAGGCGCGCGCGGAACGCGACGCGCCGTACGCCCGTAACATACTCGTACTAAGCCTTATGCTCGTCTTATGATAATTATGATGATGGTGATAACAAAAATGAACTCATGGAATTCTAACGTAAGTAGTGTTTTTAAGGTAACAAAACATAAACCACCCATTTAGGCTCCACTTTATGGAACCCAACCCCTTTAACTCAACCAACGAAGTAGTAAATACGTTTCTTTGCTTTTTACGATCTACATGTATGTTGATTCTGTTGAAGAAAGAGATCATAAATACTTTTATTTCAACACAATACTAGTATCACAAAGTTTTACTTACAGTAAAATGGGTGACTGACGCATACCGGACTAAAAGGATGGAGAAATGCCAACGAAACTATTTACTGAGTTTATGCGGCTTTACATCGTATATACATGACTGCGGTCTTGTGTGACTGACATGGGGTTGGTCAAGCAAAAACCTAGTAGGGTTTTATAATAATCATCTTTTTGTAGTGGTTTGATATCATCGTTTTGATGTCTCTGGGATTTGTAAAGCAAAAAGGTAGTGTTTAAAAGTAGTATTAATTACTTTGAGCTTAGAGTACACAACCGATGATTCTATTAGCTTGTGGATAAAATTAATTGTTCTATTAAAAATGGATAGGTATTCATCTAAAGCCGATTTTTCAATCAACAAATAATTCTTAACTGTAGATCAACACTTGACAGTTTTTACTATATATAAGAATTTTGTCTTCTGATAAAATTTAACTGAGTATTGAAAAATCGACCTTAAATAATACAACTAACTAAGAAAACTATGGAAAATAATAATAATGAATGATAATTAAAAAAGTGTTATCTACACGTCCTAGTTCCCGTTTGTTACGGAACAAATATTTGTTTTACGCACTCACGACAGGAAAAAATCCTGGTACGGATGTACGTTTTATAAAGCAAGCAAAAAATGGTCCAATCTGTGTACTTTTACGTTTTACAAAAGGGTCTATTTTTTCGATCAAATCGAACTTTTTTCTATTGCGGTTTGGAGTTCCGGCCTTTATTGGA